TCTCGTCAAAACCAATTCGTAGAGGAAAATAGATTCAATAACGCTTCAATGACAAAATGAGCATTTGCAGTAAATACAAAATCAGCTGTAGCCGGATCTTTTGATGCAAATGTTTTCAAAGCTCAACAATTTCATTTGAGAGAGCAAAGAATTATTCGGTGTGTGAGAGCAATTGTTTCATTAGATACCACTTCTCCTTGACACTCATATGTTACAATGATGAAAGCAATGCAGTTTGACGAAGATTTTCCAGCTGTTCTGATGGGTCAAAGATTAAAAGTTTAAAGGGTTAAAGGTTGCATTTTGAACAATTTGCGACTATCAACGCGTAAACGGAGATTTAATCTGTATTAGAAATCAATCCAAATTGGTTCAAGGTTGATTGTATTCCATAATTGATTTGTTAATAGGAGCAAAGTTTATCACTTTGTACTTTATATGGCGTGTGGGGGATGATTTTCACTAAAAATCTCAAGTTTTAATTTTTTTTTTCTTTTTTTTTTACATTTAGTTTTTTATGTTATTACTGCTCCATAGACTCTAAAGGCAGTCGGAAAATTCAGGGCTTTGCCCTGATACAAGCAGTCTTGTTCACATTTGCGTTTGGGCAACACATGATCGAAGAGATTAATTGGACATTTCTGCAACTTTGAGACTCAAACTTCAATTAAACTTTCACCTGTCGGACGGTAAAATAGTTTTATACACTTACCGGCACCGGAGTTTCATAGAGGGTAATCGTTATATATATATATATATTTTTTGCCAGTCCCTATGAAATCCTAAAATAATCGATTATAGCCGATCAAGAGGTTGAAGAGTAATTCGTTGAGGGGGATGAACACGTGAACGGATAGAGGAGGGGTAGAGTTAAACGCGCCTTTAATATTTTTAAAAATTAGGCTTAGGTTTCGAGTAACCAGTGGGTATAGCAAATTTTGCAGAAAAGTTTTCAAATGATTTCGCAAAAAATGTAGAGATAATAATCCAAAATACTTAATTAGAATGGATTTTAAATGGACTAAAATAATATTTTTAAAAGATTTTACTGGATCGTGCTTTTATGGAATTATTTGACTATAATGACAACAAAATCAATTTAATTGTCTAAATTTCCAATAATAAGGATTAAAATAATATTTTAGACAACATTTTTCAATTATAATCAATTTTTTTCCATGAAACTCCCGTGAAGGCAAGTTTTATTTTACAAGGTTCGGCGGGTTTTTTTATAAAGTACATCGTTACAAATAAACTGAGTTTTCCTAGTTTTTCATGAAAAGTTTTACATCTCGAAAGAGCCACATTACGAGGCCAAACTGTGCATTCTGTTCATTGTAAGCGGATTCCGCAACAGATTCCGCAATAATTACATTTAGAGTTTCTTATCACATAATCACCTTGATTTATTTTGAATATTGATTGCGCGGAAGGAGCTAATCTCATGCAACGAGAACCGATTGCAAAAAAGTTCCAATAATTCCCTCAAAATGCCCAAAAATGGCAATTGTTCCGGCGGTGTAGGTCTTAAACACTGGAATGCGCGCGGATGGCCTATATAATATTCAAGCACTGGCTTTTTCAAGCACTTTAGGGATCTCTCCCTCTGTGGAGCAGCCCGGACTGAAGCCCGTGACCTAAATCGCGACCACAGCAAGAAAACCAGCATATTCCGACCATAGGCACCACCCATAATTGGTATGTTGGCCCTTCGTGCGACTTTCGAAGTTTTGCAAAACCTTTCGAAGTTTTGCGCAATCAGGGATTTTGATCAGTTGCGCGACCGTGTTCGACTGCAACATAAGTTTCGGACATCAGCCGGGAGACTACATCGGAGCATGCAAACTTAAAAATTTTGAGAGCCCGTCATTTTTTTGACAGACAAGACCATTTTGAGAAGCTAGAAGATTGGGCTACAAGAGCACACCAGAGATCGCGGATCTGTTGTTTTTTTTTCTAGGAGATTTTCTCGAGGGAGCAGATTTCTAAAAAAAATTTCAAACTTTGTTTCTTTAAAACTCGAAAAAAGGCTGTCTCTATAAAACTCAAACATTTTCAATTTTATGTGATCAAGACGGGTAGAATGTTACCATAACTCTTAAAAGTAATTTTCATCGAAACTTAAACCAAATGTTTTAATTGAGTAAAATATGATCAACAACGGTTGTAAAATACTAAAAACGTGTCATCAAAAAAGTAAGTTCAAAAAGTAAAACGATCAATTCAATCAATATAAAATCATTTTTATTACCCTACAAAATCGTATAAAACCTTTCATAAATTTTTTTTTGTGATGGGACGCTTACATAAATCTAAATCAACAACATTTCTTCAAAGCTTTCTGGATACATAAACGAATGGCGAGGACTTTGTTCAACTTGCAAGTATAATTGGAAAAAACTGACTAATTTTTTGCAGCGTTCATAGATAAAGACGAGCCGAAAAACTACAGAGGATTGGTCCACGTATGATAAAACTAGATAAGGAAAGCCTTTGTTGATGGGCAAAGTCAATGCAGAAATTAGACAAGTTTCCCACCAAACGTCAATTTACCATGCACGTTTTATCGAAGGCGATTGAAGAACTGATATAATCAATTAAGCTAGCCCGCGAATATCCACGTGGTCACAAATACTTAAGCAACCATTAATCTCAAGCACAATTTTGCTCAATTGATCAAAGCATGCGGATGTAGATAGTCAACACACCATGAAGATATAAACAATGACAAGTTTTGTATTTTAACTCACACCAGGCGAAGCCAAGGACACGCACAGAGAAGTCAGCGAGCAGTTTGTAGTGTTGCTGCTGAAAAAAGTTCAAGCATTACAATTTGCATTACAAGCCTACTCAAAGTGCAGCGTATTAGAAATTGTTGTTTGCAGCTTTGACTCGCGATTGTTTCCTTAGTCGAGGTCCCGCTGAAAAACCGCTAAAGATTTGCTCGGTTTCATCGGGTTTTGAGACTATTGCTCTCTTATAGATGCCGCTGGTTCTACATCTCAACGAGAACTAGTCCACAAATCGAGGGAAATTTGATTTTATGCCCATGCTGGAGTTGATTTCTTCACCAGCGATCAGAATTTGTTGAGTGATGCTTTTTCTTAGATTTTCCTACAGACGCTCTCATGAAGTTTTCTATTTATATCTGAAGATGCTGCGAAGCATTACACGCTTCAAATACCTACAGAGAACCTGAATGATAGAAAAATGACCGTGACCGACCATGAGCTCTCTGCCGCTGAGTCAACTTTGCTCAAATTTCCTGCAAACTTTCCCTATCAAGAAATTACCAAAACATTTCAGCGCAGCTGGCAACCGGAAGATTTTTTTCTCGTGATCAGATGAGACAAGTTACATGAGCAATGAACACCAAAAATGCGTTTCTTAGAAAAATTCGAGCAAAACCTTTTCATTAATAAAAGTTTCGATTTGAACAGATTACTTTGAGACAGAACGGTTTGCCATTGCAGATACACCAGTTGGTACACAAGATCATAAATGTCTCTTCTTCAACGCGCTATCAGCGCTGGGTTTTTGCACTGCTGGCTGCTCATGACTTCTTGCAACTACAACTTACTAATATCCCAGTTTCACTCGTTTTTCTTTTCTCAAACTCTTTGACAAAAAGCTGGAAACATATGTTTTAGGGGATATTCTCTCATCCAATGTGTTTTTAGTTCGAATCGCAAAATCGCAAAGCACTCCATCAAATTTCGAATATTGCAATGGCATTAATACATGACCAGTTTTATCCTCACATTATGTTCATCCATGCCCGATGGCCCCTCCGCCCGATCATGATGTACTATATGCATACTACCGAAATACAGGTATTGTTGGGGTGATTGGCATATACCTTTACAACCTGTAGGCCGTCAGCACTTATTTCATGGCATAAACCGAGTGCTTATCGATTGAGGTAAGAGTAAGAAAATTTCAGCAAAAAGCTTCAATACTCAAATCCACTTCCGAAATTCACTTCAGACATCAGAAAAATTTCAAAGATTAAGAAATTGAAAAGTTGAGAAGCTCGTTATCAAGGTTTGATTAGTCTTGCAATTCTCAGTGTTCCGAAAATCGAAAGGAACAAAATAAATGTACGCATGCATTAAACAACCTCAAAAGTACAAATAAAGGAACAAAGATAGCTGGTTCTTTAAAAAACTACAAGAAAAAGCTTTTTTTTCTTCAAACTATTGAAGTTTTTCTGCGTGGTGTGGTTAGAAGACTATATTTTAAGCAAATTTCACATTCATAGTAAAATAGCCAAATTGGACTCGAAAATTGGATTCAAGAATTTAGAAAACTGACTACAACAACGAAAATAAAAAAAAAATTCAACCAATCCAAACATTTTTTAAACTTTACTTGCTTAACTATAAATTTTTAGGGCTTAAATTACGCATAATTAGGCTTTTGTTTGTCTGATCGCCAACTATATTCGCTCGCATTTAGACGAAAAATCAAAAATTTCAAATCGGTTTTTCTCGACACTAGAAAAAAAAAATTGAAAATTTTTTCTAATATGGTTCGAATTACATCTGAAAGGGCTCAAATTTGATATATCAATCAACACAATCCGATGATTGTTTGTGGTGCCTGATTTTGCATATGGAAAACAAAAAGAAAAAATCTAAAACAGACCCGAATACAAAGTCATTTTCAATCTAAATTGCATTGGAAATTATTGAGTTGCAGCTTGCTTGATTCCCGTTGGGTTTCTTTGCCGTAACAACCCACGTTGTTTGTCATGAATCTAGGCCCACTGATTCCGGGCAGCTGTTGTTTGGTATTTGATCTACTGAATTTGATCAAAATCTATCGAGATACAGTCGAGGTTTTCTTTAGCTAAAATTGTTATCTTTGCTCGATTGATTTTGAACAAACTCTGTTGAATTAATCAAATTTGAGAAGAAATTCTGGGCCGGAGCACTTTTGTGCGACTAAAACATTCAAGAAAAATTTGGAGGTTTATCGAGAAATGATTGCTGATAAATGATGTGCACGCCATTAGCGCACGAACTGAAAACTTAGTAAAGTCACAATATCAAGTCAACTTCTAACTTTAAAACTGAGAATGCAAGGCAACTAACTTGGCTAGATTCAAATATCAAAATGTATTCAAGTTAAAAGCTAAGTATTTCAAATGACACCTTTTTTCTAAACGTTGTTATTTCTTGTTTCTTCTGTTTCTCTAGTTAATTGATTTTGCCCCCTTCTAGATATCTTAACCTTTTCGTTCCCCTACTATTTTTATTGTTGTTGCCAGGTACGTGCATGAAGACGGGGACATTGTCGCCGAACAACGAAAACGTATCCACGATATTTTTGGATTTCGACTGTTATTGGTCTGTTTGTTAAATTTGTTTATTCTTTGAATTGGTTTGCCTGTTACTGGAACCCGACTAGATTTTTTTCAACCTCCTCTTCAAACTGTTAGTTAAAACAACGTTATTGTTTTGTTTCGTTAAATTTAATGACTGTTACCAGATCACTTTTTTCAAAAATGAACTCTCAAATTAATTTTGAAGTGCTGGATGATAATCTTTTGAAAGTGATTGAAAATGATTCAAACACATAAATTTAATACAATCAAAGGTTTAATTACAAATGATGAAAAGCTTGAAGTAATTGAAAGTCTGATGACGGATTTAGATACTATCATTAAGCCCCTGAACGATATTGTAACTCATTTAATGAGCGAACGTAATGAACAAATGCAACAACAGTTTCTCATCCGATTAAAAACAGTTAAACTGGGCTATAGGAAGACCCAGATTGAGTAAAAACGATATGCAATTAGGCAACGCTCAGCTTGCAATGTTTCAATTACATCATCACGTGTTGAAAGTTATGCACCACAGCTCCACAAACATCATCAACAACGACTTAGAACCCCAGATTGCTCAGTCAGCCCAAAAAATAGCCACTACAAGCCTTCAACACTCAACCTCCTTGCCTCAACATTATTTGTCTGATGCAAGTGAATCCCCGTCTCCGCCGCCGTTTCGACAGACATTGTCAAAAACTAGCAACAAACAGCCGCGATTTGTCAACCCCCAATCGCGAGCAGTCTTCACAACGAGCCCTTTTAGTGGACAAATTACCACATCAGTCAGCAAACAAGCTACGCACGGAAGGATAGCCCCTCAATATACTAGTGGAACTCAATTCCAGCATAGATTTCTCCAGCCACTTTTTACGATGTCGCCTCCAAGCCTGAACTTTTCAACTACTTCAGCCGTTTACCCGGAAGCTCAAGAGACTCAACCTCTTCGACGACCGCACCTACAGCCGAATCCTGGAACTCACCTCCACAGTAACGCTCAGCAACTTGTAACGTCATCAACGACAGCCCAACAGCTTACTAGCAATGCAAATGTCTTCATGCAATCCGAATCTCGTAGTCGCTTTGGAATTCAATTCCGAAATCCAGAACTAAATTACCCAGCTGTGACAACTCTTCATTTGCCGACAACTTTTGGAGCGCAACTTGATTACGGAACTCAACTCCACATAATCCCTCTGCAACCCAACGTTTCGAGAACAGAACAGCAATGCAGCCAAACAACGACAAACTTTCAGCCGCATTCGACCAACAATTGGCCAAAACGCCACTCATATGGATTTAAACGTCCAGTAAATGCAAACTCAACTCCATCAGCAACTTCTGAACCCCAGTTTTTGAACCAAGTAGCAGTCAACAGCTACCCTGCTTTCCAGTCAATCACCTTTGCTAACCCACCAGCAGCTTTCAACAGTGATCTTCCCATGTCCACTGAACCATTTGCCACTTGCAGCTTCGCTGAAGCGTGGAACTTTCAAGGAACCACTAACCAGACTAGCACGCAGCGCATATCTTTCCATCAGCCAGACGCCTCAGCCTCGACTAATCAGCAACAAATCTTGCAATCATGGCTGACACAGCAGCCTCCTCTTGCAGCACACGAGCAGCTCCTCAGCTTTAATCATCAGCCAGCAATTGGAACCCCCAACTAACCAGTTCTTGCCTCATGTCATTAACACATTTGGATGTCAAACTCCATCACTACAACCACCAATCACACAGCAGACTGCATCTTGTCGGCCAACGTAGCAGTACCCGCATTATCTCACTACTCGACAGCCAACGACATTTCAGCCACAGTTCGACATCTCGTCAGCACAACCTACAGGAATGCTTGCAACTACCCGACAGCCCGACGACTACTATCAACTTAAGATTTCGAAAGTTTTTCGAAAGTCTGTACCAGTCATCAAACCCTTCAACTTTGACGGAGACCCCGAACAATGGTTGGATTGGATTGGATTGGAATCTACAACGCCACAATAGACAACACCGATATGTCAGGTTCTGAAAAACTAACCCACTTTCAACGATTTGTTTCCGAAGACGCTAAATCCCTAATCCGTGGATACGGATGTATCGGATCTTTGTACGACTCGGCCCTCCGGCGACTGCATTCAGAATTCGGAAACCCAACGAAAATAATGACTTCATTTCTGAAGTGATTTGCAAAAAATTTTAGCATGTTTGATAATAGATTTATTTACCCACAACCTAGATTTAATTTCACAAGCAAGAAAAAATTTCAGACCCCAAAGTACCAATGACAACACTGTCGTTGCAGAACAATCAGATTACGTTTGGGACCCTGAATGGTCTCATCCAGCATTTATAAATATTCCAAAAGATATCTCGAGTAATTTTTTTCTAATATGGTTCGAATTACATCTGAAAGGGCTTAAATTTGATAAATCAATCAACACAATCCAATGGTTGTTTGTGGTGCCTGATTTTGCATTGGGAAAACAAAAAGAAAAAATCTAAAACAGACCCGAATACAAAGTCCTCTCCCCATTTTCAATCTAAATTGCATTGGAAATTTTTGAGTTGCAAGTTGCTTGATTCCCGTTGGGTTTTTTTGCCGTAACAACCCACGTTGTTTGTCATGAATCTAGGCCCACTGATTCCGGGCAGCTGTTGTTTGGTATTTGAACTTCTGAATTTGATCAAAACCTTTCGAGACACAGTCGAGGTTTTCTTTAGCTAAAATTGTTATCTTTGCTCGATTGATTTTGAACAAACTCTGTTGAATTAATCAAATTTAAGAAGAAATTCTGGGCTGGAGCACTTTTGTGCGACTAAAATATTCAAGAAAAATTTGGAGGTTTTTCGAGAAATGATTGCTGATAAATAATGTGCACGCCATTAGCGCACGAACTGAAAACTTAGTAAAGTCACAATATCAAGTCAACTTCTAACTTTAAAACTGAAAACGCAAGGCAACTAACTTGGCTAGATTCAAATATCAAAAGGTCTTCAAATTAAAAGCTAAGTATTTCAAATGACACCTTTTTTCTAAACGTTGTTATTTCTTGTTTCTTCTGTTTCTCTAGTTAATTGATTTTGCCCCCTTCTAGATATCTTAACCTTTTCGTTCCTCTACTAATTTTATTGTTGTTGCCAGGTACGTGCATAAAGACGGGGACATTGTCGCCGAACAACGAAAACAAATCCACGATATTTTTGGATTTCGACTGTTATTGGTCTGTTTGTTAAACTTGTTTATTCTTTGAATTGGTTTGCCTGTTACTGGAGCCCGACTTGATTTTTTTCAACCTCCTCTTCAAACTGTTAGTTAAAACAACGTTATTGTTTTGTTTCGTTAAAATTAATGCCTGTTACGAGATCACTTTTTCAAAAATGAACTCTGAAATTAATTTTGAAACCGCAGTGCTGGATGATTATCTTTTGAAAGTGATTGAAAGTGATTCAAACACGTAAATTTAATACAATCAAAGGTTTAATTACAAATGATGACGAGCTTGAAGTAATTGAAAGTCTGATGACGGATTTAGATATTATCATTAAGCCCCTGAACGATACTGTAACTCATTTAATGAGCGGACGTAATGAACAAATGCAACAACAGTTTCTCATTCGGTTAAAAACAGTTTAACTGGGCTATAGAAAGACCCAGATTGGGTATAAACGATATGCAATTAGGCAACGCTCAGCTTGCAATGTTTTAAATACATCATCACGTGTTCAAAGTTATGCACCACAGCACCACAAACATCATCAACAACGACTTAGAGCCCCAGATTGCTCAGTCAGCCCAAAAAATAGCCACTACAAGCCTTCAACACTCAACGTCCTTGCCTCAACATTATTTGTCTGATGCAAGTGAATCCCCGTCTCCGCCGCCGTTTCGACAGACATTGTCAAAACCTAGCAACAAACAGCCGCGATTTGTCAACCCCCAATCGCGAGCAGTCTTCACAACGAGCCCTTTTAGTGGACAAATTACCACATCAGTCGGCAATCAAGCTACGCACGGAATGATAGCCCCTCAATATACTATTGAAACTCAATTCCAGCATAGATTTCAACAGCCAACTGTTACGATGTCGCCTCCAAGCCTGAACTTTTCAACTACTTCAGCCGTTTACCCAGAAGCTCAAGAGACTCAACCTCTTCGACGACCGCACCTACAGCCGAATCCTGGAACTCACCTCCACAGTAACGCTCAGCAACTTGTAAAGTCATCAACGACAGCCCAACAGCTTACTAGCAAGGCAAATGTCTTTATGCAATCCGAATCTCGTAGTCGCTTTGGAACTCAATTCCGAAATCCAGAACTAAATTACCCAGCTATGACAACTCTTCATTTGCCGACAAATTTTGGAGCGCAACTTGATTACGGAACTCAACTCCACATAATCCCTCTTCAACCCAACGTTTCGAGAAAAGAACAGCAATGCAGCCAAACAACGACAAACATTCAGCCGCATTCGACCAACAATTGGCCAAAACGCCACTCATATGGATTTAACCGTCCAGTAAATGCAAACTCAACTCCATCAGCAAATTCTGAACCCCAGTTTTTGAACCGGGTAGCAGTCAACAGCTACCCTGCTTTCCAGTCAATCACCTTTGCTTACCCACCAGCAGCTTTCAACAGTGATCTTCTCATGCCCACTGAACCATTTACCAATTGCAGCTTCGCTGAAGCGTGGAACTTTCAAGGAACCACTAACCAGACTAGCACGCAGCGCATATCTTTCCATCAGCCAGACGCCTCAGCCTCGACTAATCAGCAACAAACCTTGCAATTATGGCTCACACAGCAGCCTCCTTTTGCAGCACACGAGCAGCTCCTCAGCTATAATCATCAGCCAGCAATTGGAACCCCCCAACTAACCAGTTCTTGCCTCATGTCATGAACACATTTGGATGTCAACCTCCATCACTACAACCACCAATCACACAGCAGACTACATCTTGTCGGCCAACGTAGCAGTACCCACATTATCTGACTACTCGACAGCCAACGACATTTCAGCCACAGTTCGACATCCCGTGAGCACAACCTACAGGAATGCTTGTAACTACCCGACAGCCCGACGAATACTATCAACTTAAGATTTCGAAAGTTTTTCGAAAGTCTGCATCAGTCATCAAACCCTTCAACTTTGACAGAGACCCCGAATCATGGATGGATTGGATTGGAATCTACAACGCCACAAAAGACAACACCGATATGTCAGATTCTGAAAAATTAACCCACTTTCAACGATTTGTTTCCGGAGACGCTAAATCCCTAATCCGTGGATACGGATGTATCGGATCAATGTACGACTCGGCCCTCCGGCGATTGCATTCAGAATTCGGAAACCCAACGAAAATAATGACTTCATTTCTGAAGCGACTCGAAAACTTCAACTTCAACAGTCCGTCACTCAGATATCGAAGAAGCTACAAAGACCTGGCCAACTTCCTGAGAACAAATGATGGATATTTTCACCACTATGGATTTCCTGCACTCGATGACCAATGTTCACACAGTTTTGGGTAAACTACCTACTCCCTGCCGACTTGAATGAAATCGCTTCACCCTGCAGCATCACATTCAACAGCCACCGCTCTTGGACCTCAGCGAATGGTTCAGTGACTACGCCGAAGCTTGCAGGGATCTGCCAACAGATCAGTCAGCTCACACCAACGCCAGAAAATCAGCCAGCCGACCGAACTTCAACCCTCCTCGACAGTCATCCAGAAAATCACGATCAAAAACGCAGATAGATATTTGCCCTGAACAACCAAAATTGTCAATACCTTGGGAAATGCCACCATTTTCTAGCTTTGACTGTAGACCAGCGACTCCAAAACGCAAGTAATCTTCATCTTTGACTCAACTGCCTCAGCTCTCACCAGCTTGCCGAATGCCAATCTAATCAAACTTACCAATCAGACGAGAAGCACTCACTGCAACAAGAAGAACTACACTTTATTGCACAAAGACTACAACTCAATCAGTTCAAAAGCGCACTCGACAGCCTACAGGAAGAAGAACGATGACTCGACAAATTGTTCTTCCAGCAATCGGAAAGGGAAATCATCCTGCCACATACCGACACTACCGATAACCATATCGTTTGGAAGCAAAGTTGTACATGCCTAGGCCATGCTCGACTGTGCCAGCAAACTGGCTTAGGTTAAATTTTCAGTAGCCCTACGACTGAAACCAGATATCAAATTTACAGCGAGGCTTCAACTGAACGAAGCCCTCACCTCTTCTGACACAGCAGCCGCCAAAATGAGCATATGAGTTGGAAGCTACAACGACCCAAACCAGCCATACTAACTAGACGACATTGACGTTATTAAGGTTGGGAAACTCCCGGACTTCATTTCAGCCCTAGTTAACAGCATATGCCAAAGGAACAAACATCTCAGGTATATCCACATTGCCCAGTTAAGAACGAATGACATTGAGATCATCATTGGATGCGACTTCGCCCGCCCTGTCACACCAACAGAAGTTGTACAATCACAGGCTAATGTAGCCCTTTGGTTGATGTCTATGTGGTTGAGACAGCGCAGCAAAACCCGACGACATCAACATAACGAACTTCATAGACGACAATCAATTGTTTCGCCATGTTGCCGAGTGGATAAAACTCGACGCCGAATGAGTTTTATCGGACAAACAAATTTGTCACGTGACGACAAAGACGCTCTCTAAACCTTAGAAACAACAAATCGCCTCCTCGATGATGGACATTACCAGATTGGACTACTATGGTAGAAGAATCGACATCTACAAAACAACTACTGGCTTGCAAAAAAGCAAATACGAAGCAACCCAGAACTTCATAGCGAATAGGAGACCATCACGACCGACTTACGCAAAGGATTCATCAAGCAAGTCAACAGCAACGACAACGACAACGAAGATTGTTGGTGCCTGCCTCACCGCCCATTAACAAACGCCAACAAACCCGGCAAATTACACCGAGTACTCAATGCATCTAGCAGCAGCTTACTCACCGGACCGGACCTTCTCTGCAACCTCACAGGAATCATCATGCGAATTCGCGAGGACCAAATTGCCATTTCAGTCGACATTGAAGCAATGTTCATGCAGGTACTCGTGACACCAGCAGATTAGCCTTACCTACGTTTTCTGTGAAAAGAGGACAACCAGAACATCATCAAATACCAGTACACGCGAAACATATTTGGAGCAACCGACTCTCCTTGTGTCGCTTGCTGCGCAACCAGACGATGCGCAAAGGACAACGATGACAAATATCCCGACTTAGTTCCAATAAGCGAACGGAACCCTTCTATTGACGATCTCTACGAAGCCGTTTCTACGACCGAAGAAGCCATCAGACTGAAATCCGATCTCCAGCACCTGTTTAGTTTCGGTGGATTCAATTTGACAAAATGGACCTCCAACTCTACACAATTCCTTCAAAGCGTTGAAAAAGAACGCCTCGCAGATAAAAACAGCCGCAAAGTTGACGCCAGACCATTGCAAAGACTTCTTGGAGTCAAATGGAAGCCTGACTCAGATCAGTTTTTGGCGGAAGCAAAGAAATTTCAGACACTTAGGAAAAAGGACATTACGCAATGGAAACTCCTCAAGTTCGCCTCCTCACTATTTTACCCACTTGGAATCACCATGCCCTTAACAATTCGCCTCCGACAGAGCCTACAACTCGACTGGACCTCAGGACCTCAAAGGGACAAAGCCCTCGACTTGACAATTTTGTCTGACCTCATCGACTGGATCGACGAAATCAAATACGTCAACAACGTGGATCTACCTTGAACGTACTTCCGACCACAAATGAAAGCAACCGACATTCAACTGCACGTGTTCAGCGACGCCTCAGATTTTGCCCTTGCATCCGTTGCATACCTAAGGATCGCTTACAACTACAACACAGTGGACATTAAGTTTGTAATGGGAAAAGCCCGAGTATCACCCATCAAAAGAATGACTATTTCGAATCTGGAACTTCAAGCTGCTACCAACGGAGCCAAACTAAACAAGTTTGTGAAAAAACTGCACAAAATCGCAATCAACAGCTTGACACTTTGGACTGATAGCACAACAGTTATTCACTGGATCAACACGCCCAATCAACGCCACCGGATCTTCTTTGCCAACCGCCTTAGCCCCATACTGGACACCACTTCGCACTTGGATAGGAGATACGTGCCCAGCGTAATCTACCCGGCCGACAACGCCACCCGTGGATATAGAGCTTCAAACATGACTGCATCCTCCCGATGGATCACAAGACCAGCCTTCCTACTCTCACCTAGCACAGACTGGACTACTCAACCGATCTTGCAGCAAACGACTACTGTACTTACGCCAGACGACACACCGGTGCAGCCGTCACCAATCATTAACTTTTTTACTCGCTACACCAATGCGACGAAATCCCTCAAAGTGACAGCTTATGTTGTTCTCTTCGTGGAGAACCTCAAGAGAAAGACTTGTAGCTCTCTCTCTGTGCAGCACCTAGCAAATGGTTTTGCTTTCATCATCAAGCAGACTCAACGACAGGATTTCCCCAAGAAATTTCGTTGCCTGACAAAGAAGACACAAATTCCTGCCCGCAGCTGACTCCAGTCCCTTTGCCCCTTCATCGTTGATTTTGGATTAGTTCGCATCAAAGGACGCCTTAGCAAAGCCCCGCAACTTTTATCAAGCCGACATCCCGTAATTCTAAATTGAGATAGCAACCCAATACAGCTCTTTATGCAGCAGATACACGACAGCAACGCCCATTGTGGAATTGAACAAAATCGCAGCATTTTACAACAGGACTTTTGGATCCTTCTATCACGCAAGCACCTGAAAAGGATCATCCGACAAAGCATACCATGCCGCCCCATACGACAAGAACCCTTCAACCCTCAAACGACCGAACTAACAGTAGCACGACTGCCTTCGCCTGACAGTGCCATCCCTTTCCAATCGACTGGAATCGAATTTTTGGATTCTTTGCCACACGCAATGATGGCAAATTTAGCAAGCGAAATGTTCTCTTCTTCGCCTACCTAGTGACACGCGCCGTTCACTCTGAAAATTGCCATAAAACTGATGCAGACTCAACTCTGCAAGCCCTGTGCCGGCTCATAGCTCAACTCGGAAAACCTAACCTGATCTTTTGAATAACGAAATAACGAAATGCAACAGAGCCTCACTGACTTACAACAAAACGACCACTTCAAAGATCAATGTCAACTGACTGGAATCACGTGGAAATTCAAATCTCCTGCCGCCCCTCATTTTGGTGGTTTTTGGGAAAGATTAATCAAGCCTTTCAAAGACGCGTTTTACGAAGTTATTGGAACTAGGATCCTAGGCGACGAACTTTGCCGTAATGAACTCAAGACCACTGATAACCGTCTACTAAGATCCTACCGACACTGAAGCCTTGACTCCGAACCACATTCTACTAGGACGTACTTCAACAACTTTGCTTCCTGGTTTGTTTTTACCTCGCACCCTCAATCAAAGGAAAACTTGGAAACAAGCTCAAGTTCTGACCCAACAATTCTGGAACCGCTACTTGAAAGAATACCTGCCAACACTGACTACGCGGACTAAGTGGACACAGCCAACTCAAAACATCCAAACTGGAGATTTAGTTTGGCTAGTAGAAGATCTGACACCTCGCGGTCTTTGGCCCCTGGGGCGGGTACTACGTACTTCTCCCGGATCGGACGGAATTTTTCACTCATGCGAAATTCAGCCAAATTATGGACTCCTGACTCGACCAGCCATTAAACTTTCTCAAATTTTGGAAGAAGATACAACACGAACTGTCTGACTGACTACTATGACAACTAAGCCACAACACATTCCAGAAACTTCGACAATTATCAGGACACTACTACGAAACCAAATTTTATTTGCAACCTGCAAATGAGCCCGGCCATATAACGCCATTAGCACACGAAATGAAAACTTAGTAAAATCACAATATCAAGTCAACTTCTAACTTTAAAATTAAAAACGCAAGGCAACTAACTTGGCTAAATTAAAATAACAAAATGACTTCAAATTAAAAACTAAGTATTTCAAATGTCACCTTTTTTCTAAATGTTCTTATTTCTTGTTTCTTCTGTTTCTCTAGTTATTTCATAATTGTCCCCTTCTAGATATCTTAACATTTTCGTTCACCTACTAGTCTTAGTGTTGTTGCCAGGTACGTGCATAAAGACGGGGACAATTAAAATTAATATTAAAAACGTTTTTCTGTCATTTCTATCAATAATAGTACCCAAATTGAAATGTTCTTGTGACATCTCTATAAAATTTACTTGACACGTGGCATACAAACTACGATGTTGAAAACTTGTACTTTTAAGTGAGATCTTGTACTTTTAAGTGAGAACGTCTTTGAGACATCTTTGAGTCTGCAGTCAAAGAGGTCGTTGTTAACCTACCTTGTTTTGGCCGTGACCCTCGAAATCTCAATAAATTAATCATTTCAGCTGCGATGATCGAACCTATCGAACCTATTCAACATAAACCGAAAATGTCCAAATCGTCAAATCAATGATAATCAGAAGAATGTAGGGTTGAGTGGTCAGATCTAGCTAAAAGCAATTTTTCTTTCAGAGCTTTCAATTATGTAGTTTCAGAGCTTTCAATTAAGTAAAATTTATGAAAAGGTAGTCATATGGGCAACTGTTTAAATCAGATGAACTTCTTTACAATCTCATCATTACCGAATGTTTCCATTGTCAAGTCGTCGAACTTCTCTTGAAAACCTGTAGGTAAATGCTCCTTCCATCTCTCAGCTTGTCCTTTGTTCACCAGATCCTTTTGAAGGGAAGCTCATTTAGCCTAATAAATTACCCTTTAAGATTTATTGCAGTTTCTCAAAGAATTAACGCGGAGCCGTCTCCCTACTTTGAGTTCTATTTGAGTTAGTTTTTGTTATAGTTCCGACTTGCAAGTTTTTTTAATCCGACCAGTTTCCAAAAGAACAATTTCTGAGTGTGGGGATTGTTCCTTGGATCTTTGTGATCACATTTGTGGGGTGGGGAGGGGGATCATTACTTTATGTACCTGAATCTACGATACTTGCACGTACAACTCAAAACTTTAACATACTCAATATTGACAGCCCAAAACTCATAGTTTTCCAATATTTCATTTACCGCAAACTTTTCGAGACCAGTTAAAGGGCAGTCGCAATAATCAGGGCTTTGCACTGATATATGCGAGCAGACTTGTTCCTTTTTATTCTATTCAACTCCAACCCGTATAGTTTTTTAGATAAACTTGTGAAAAATGAGAATACTTTAAAAGACAGGAGGGATCTTTCCTCCGACGCAGGCACGGATCTCGGGTGTTGTTTGGGTTTGAAAAACGAGCCCCTCCCCTCACACACACACACCATCACCACCAGAAATGGTTTTCTAATTTCTGCTAGGCTAATTTAGGTTAATTAAACGGTCTTTCCTTCACAATCGGTCGATTATTTTCCATGCGGTCTTTCACCGAATTGAGAGAAGTCAATGATTTTAAGTTAGTGACGTCATCATCTGACATGGCCTGCAGGTCGAGAAATTTTTCGATTCTGCGAACAGTCTCTTCGAAGCGATCTATGACATCTTCGTAGTGGATTATCAAGTGTGAATCTGGATGTTCTCTAAATAAAAGAAAAAACACTGGAAGGAGAAAATGGGAAGACAATGTCTAGTTAAAAGCCAAAACGGCTCATTTTGAAATTAATTTTATATACGCGATACTTTGATTGTTTTGTAACCCCTAAATTCAAGAAAAAGTAATTTCCAAGCTTTAGATAACGATGTATTGCTATTTTTGAAATTAAACTCTCTGTTTAGCTATGTTTTTAACAAAAATATTGGGCGACAAAAATTAGGAGATTTGGTGTTTAGTATTTTTAACGATACATTAGGAACTTGGCAGAGTCATAAAGGGTTCTCTTCTGAAGCGTCAAGTCATGTCAAGGATAGCAAGTGAGGAGGAGCTCTCATTTGACCTCTAGCTTCAGGTCTACAATAGCTTGACCAATTTCGGCTGTAATAGTGGTACCACGTGAAAGTTGGCGCAAAAAAGGTCTTGAGTCGCAAAAAAAGCTTCGATCAGCAAAATAACTGACTCTAGAATATGGGGAAATAAAGCAAATTGGCAATGCTTAGACAAGCCTGATAAACTTTCATGATAGTTTCTTATAGATCCTCTGCGAATTGCAGAAGCATAATTGATCCGACTTTTGAAGAAAATTTTGGCAGAAATTTTTCATATCATCTGAGAGAAATTTTTATCATAAGCTCAAATTGGAAAAGATATTTCAACTGTGATCTCTTCTATAAAGTTACGGGCGATTGAATTTGCTTATTTGCCCAATTTGGGATAATTAAAATGCGATATAGTAACACATTAGCAAGCGTAAGACTTATAACACTCGTGAGAAGCAAAATAATGCATTCCAAACTAAATTGAGGCCAGCAATTTAATCATATTATCACATTAAGAGGCGTTAAACGCATCCTTGGTTTTTTACATAGCGTGTGGGAGGAATAAAAATCAGGAAAAAATGAAAAAAAAATCCGAATTTTTTCTCAATTATCTGGTCAATTATTCAAACAACAAAAAACTTCCAATTGGCTTAAGTGCAGTCGGAACGGAACATTCAGGGCTTTGTCTTGATACACATGCAGTCTTGTTTTCATTGTGTTCGAATTTTTTTCAAATGGGTAACTTTGCGAGATCGAGTTTTGGCCGCTGTAATGAGCTCAGGATTCTCTCGTTAGATTTTGTCCTTCTTGTCTTTAATTTAATCTTTTTTTTTATTTTGAGGAACAAAAAATTGTGAAAATGATAACATGTTGGATTATCATGTTCAATTGAATTATGAAAAAGTCAGTGCACAAACAAAAAAAACTGCTCGTTTTAGGATGAATCAAGAATACTCTGAAGTTCTTTATCTTTATCGTGTTGTTTTCAGTAAAAAATATTGTGGTTTGAAAGCGTGAAAAAAGACAATTTTAATATAAAACACTTGACTCTATTTAAAGTTTTGACAAACCCTCTCCTCCAAAGCAGTTTAAAGAACAAAATGATCAGTATGCGTCAAACTGGCGGCGTCCCTCATGATGGAGGGACCGGTTGTTGGAACTATATTTTCACCTTTTTTCCGCCTATCAGAATCGAGTATTCAAAAATCTCACAGATTTCGCAAACTTTTCAAGCAAAACAAGCGAATAAATCCGAGCCATTGAAATTTTTTTGACCAAAAACAAAGTGAGTAGATTCTTGAAACTTCAAAAACCGAAGTCTAAATAAAAATAAAAGTTAAAACGAAAAAATTGTTGTTCATACGCACAAATTCTACAGAAAAACCTTGCTGTGCCACTATAATTCATTGTCTGTTGATGAAGACTTAGGTTAGGTGCAAAGTTTGAGTAGCCAAATGGAGCGTCTAAAAATTCTGATTGGCTTAAGTATTCTTTCATGCGGTAACTCTATCATCAGATTACCCCCGTCAAATTACTCTGTATTGGAACCAATAAGCTCGCCTGTGAACCAATAAGCTCACCGAGCAATAAGCTCGCCCGTGAAAAATTGCTTGTGTATCAGAGCGAAGCTTCAGTGTTCAGACTGCATTTTAAGGCCAATTTAAAAGTTTTTCGGATGAAAAAATGACAAAATAATCGGACAAAAATTTAAAAAAAGTTCTAGTGTTTTAATAAATCGAGCAAATAATTTGCCTCAATTCAATCTGAAACGCATTAATCCGGTGTTTTTTACTAGCACTGTTTAAGTCATAGCTTTGGACTAATTTATGCGCGCTTTGAAGTTTTTATTCATAATGATAAAAACGTAAAACAAATTATTTATGCGTGGCAAAGTATCCCGCACAAAAACACTGTTCCGAATTGAATTGAGGCTAGCCAATCGTTCGGATTAACTTCGTACAACTCAAATTTTCAAAACGGACCTTTAGTTTTGTCCAAAATTCATAGTTTTTTAAAAAATTTTCCTTCTTTTCGAGGCCAAACTGAGCACTGGATAGGCGCACAATTTTCTATCTGTATGTTCCTGGATTCTAGAAACAAATATTTAAACACGTTGAAATTTTGTCGGAACGATCGAAGAAAAAGAAAGAGCAAAAGAAGAACAAATGGAGCGTCTTTGTGGCGGAATCCGCTTACATTTCCCAAAAAGCACAGTTGTCCTTTTAATATTTTCCCAAAAACTATTCGATATGTATTAAGGGCACTCGGAACATTCAGTGCTTTGTCTTGATACACATGCAGTCTTGTTTTCATTGTGTTCGAATTTTTTTCAAATGGGTAACTTTGCGAGATCGAGTTTTGGCCGCTGTAATGAGCTCAGGATTCTCTCGTTAGATTTTGTCCTTCTTGTCTTTATTTTAATCTTTTTTTTTTATTTTGAGGAACAAAAAATTGTGAAAATGATAACATGTTGGATTATCATGTTCAATTGAATTATGAAAAAGTCAGTGCACAAACAAAAAAAACTGCTCGTTTTAGGATGAATCAAGAATACTCTGAAGTTCTTTATCTTTATCGTGTTGTTTTCAGTAAAAAATATTGTAGTTTGAAAGCGTGAAAAAAGACAATTTTAATATAAAACACTTGACTCTATTTAAAGTTTTGACAAACCCTCTCCTCCAAAGCAGTTTAAAGAACAAAATGATCAGTATGCGTCAAACTGGCGGCGTCCCTCATGATGGAGGGACCGGTTGTTGGAACTATATTTTCACCTTTTTTCCGCCTATCAGAATCGAGTATTCAAAAATCTCACAGATTTCGCAAACTTTTCAAGCAAAACAAGCGAATAAATCCGAGCCATTGAAATTTTTTTGACCAAAAAGAAAGTGGGTAGATTCTTGAAACTTTAAAAACCGAAGTCTAAATAAAAATAAAAGTTAAAACGAAAAAATTGTTGTTCATGCGCACAAATTCTACAGAAAAACCTTGCTGTGCCACTATAATTCATTGTCTGTTGATGAAGACTTAGGTTAGGTGCAAAGTTTGAGTAGCCAAATGGAGCGTCTAAAAATTCTGATTGGCTTAAGTATTCTTTCATGCTGTAACTCTATCATCAGAAAACCCCCGTCAAATTACTCTGTATTGGAACCAATAAGCTCGCCTGTGAACCAATAAGCTCACCGAGCAATAAGCTCGCCCGTGAAAAATTGCTTGTGTATCAGAGCAAAGCTTCAGTGTTCAGACTGCATTTTAAGGCCAATTTAAAAGTTTTTCGGATGAAAAAATGACAAAATAATCGGACAAAAATTTAACAAAAGTTCTAGTGTTTTAATAAATCGAGCAAATAATTTGCCTCAATTCAACCTGAAACGCATTAATCCGGTGTTTTTTACTAGCACTGTTTAAGTCATAGCTTTGGACTAATTTATGCGCGCTTTGAAGTTTTTATTCATAATGATAAAAATGTAAAATAAATTATTTATGCGTGGCAAAGTATCCCGCACAAAAACACTGTTCCGAATTGAATTGAGGCTAGCCAATCGTTCGGATTAACTTCGTACAACTCAAATTTTCAAAACGGATCTTAAGTTTTGTCCAAAATTTATAGTTTTTTTAAAATATTTCCTTCTTTTCGAGGCCAAACTGAGCACTGGATAGGCGCACAATTTTCTATCTGTATGTTCCTGGATTCTAGAAACAAATATTTAAACACGTTGAAATTTTGTCGGAACGATCGAAGAAAAAGAAAGAGCAAAAGAAGAACAAAGGGAGCGTCTTTGTGGCGGAATCCGCTTACATTTCCCAAAAAGCACAGTTGGCCTTTTAATATTTTCCCAAAAACAATTCGATATGTATTAAGGGCACTCGGAACATTCAGGGCTTAGCCCTGTATACGAGCAGTCTTGTTATAAGTTTCATGGATATTGTTAACTAAAATGTTGTCTATATAATCGATTATCATGGCAATTTTAGACAAGGAACTGGAATTTGAGTCCGTTTTAGTTGATTGTTTTCGAAAAACAGAAACTCATTACAATCCATAATAATCTATTATAATCCTTTTTGTTTTCAATATAATGGATTATTTTTTGTACATAAAATCCGTGAAAATTGATTAAATTTTGTAAGATTTGACTGTACTTTTTGCAACTTTCTGCAAAACTCGAACGAACGCGTTCATCCAGGGGCGGCCAATTTCTAGTAATTTTGAAGAGGCCAATATGTAGTAATTTTCCAAAAAATTCCCAAAAACTGTACTTTTGACCAGTTTTTTTCAAGAAATTACCCCCACTAAAAACTAAACACCCCCACCAGGACAGGTAACTATGTAGTGCAAGTAAGCGTGGGAGATTAAAGCAATAGTACGTGAACTTTTATAAATTTTCATAAACGTGGTTGAAATTTAGGAAAAGTTGAAATTGAGCCAGAGAAAAAATTAACTAACTTAAATTTAATAGTATTATAAAAAAGGAAAACAGAACACCGAAAGATTTTAGTTACTGAAATATAATCCATTATTATCGATTAAATTTGATTATTTTTCTACTGATATAAATTTTTGAAAATATGCCGAAAATAAACGCTTATAGTTGAGTACATTGCTTAAAAATAGCATCATTATAATCCATTTTCAATCAACTATAATCGATTACTTTTGTTTTTTTATAGAGACAGACAATGAAATTCCGAAATAATTGATTATTAACCATGAAACTTAATAATAACAGACCGCACTTGTGCCAATTCGAATGAATTCTGTGCCAGATTATTTGCCCTTCAAAACTAGGCTGCTCGAATGCAGCGAGGTTATGGCCTGAATTTTCCGTTGCCTTTTCACAAGATAAATATACAGCAAACTTTTCGTTTATAAAATACATATTTCTATGGCTTTTTTTTCTCCCCCACACCCACCTGCAAATTTTCACAACTATTTTTTGTTCACATAATCTGATTGCCACAAAAATTGGCATGTATACTCGTTAGGTAATGACAAAAATACTTCTTACTTACTCTTGTAAAACCCCAGTTACACCAAAAATTTGATGCTGATATGAGGTGGGGGATTGAGGGAATGAAAAAAAGATCAAAATCGCTCCCTCACGCGCAGTGTTATTTATAAAGTGATGTGTTTATAGAAAGTCAGAAAATTCGGGCACATCGCTTATGATACATTGTCCGAATTGGCACTTTTCAAATTTCAAACTCATTAAAATGGATGCAGGGAAAATATTTTTCATTTCCAGCACAGAATATGACTTTTTCAGGTAAACAAAATCATCCGTTAAAATACCACAGTAAAGGTTGAATTTAATCTAAAAAAACCACCGCGCACAATTAGACCATTTTTAATTCAAAAATTGGAACAATGAAAAGGCAGCATTCTTAAGCCTGAATTAATTATTTTTTTGTCAAAACCCCGCCAACACTAAGTTTTTTACCTTTCATTCGAAATCTGAACAATATAAACCAAACCCTTCATAAAAAACATTCGATAGCTTTTTTCTACAACCCTCCCCCAAACATTTAAATGTTAGTTTTGCAAAACTTTTTAGCTTGTCAAAATGCATTGAAAATTTGCCTGGTTAAAAAAAACACCGAATGTGGCAGATTTTTTTTTTCATAGTTTAAACAAAAATCTTTTGGCAAAACGCGGAATCTGCAAAACCAACCAAAGCGCGCTCTACGCTGAAAACCATAAAAACGATGGCCAGAAACTCACTGAAGTTCTCCATGGACAAGAAATCCATACTCAGTAATTTGTCAAAATAGAGCCAACTTTAGCTCCGTAAACTTGTCTCTGGAACTCATCATATTATTGATTTTTTTACATTTAGGTAAAGTGGCTAATTTCAAAAACTATGAACCTGGTCTTGACGTTTAAAGCAAATAGTTTGTTAGGCATGATTATTGTTCCGACTTTCGATACGAAAGTAACGGAATATTTGAGCTCGGGGTGGGTTTTTTTTTCTTCAGACAAAATTCGACTTTTTAACTAGCCATTTTTGACGGAATTTTTTTATATCATTCGAAAGGTATTGTTGTCCTGAGCTTATATTTGAAAACATATTTCACCTGTGATCATTCACCTGTGATAAAGTTATGAGGGTTTAAAGGTTGCCACTTTGGCCATTTTGGCTAATTTGGGACAATTAAGGCGCGATATATTTCGCGCTAATAATGCGTAAGCGGAGATTTAATCCGTCTTAGAAATCGTTCCAAATTGGTTGAACGAAGCTTATTTGCCATAATTAATTTGTTACAAGGAACGTAATCTAACCTTTTGTACTTTTTATGGCGTGTGGGGGATAATTTTCATAAAAAATTTCAGATTTTAGAAGAAGAAAAATTTCGTTTTATCTTATTTCATTTAATTCTGATACGTTATTACTGCTCCATAAACCTTAAAAGGCAGTTGGAAGATTCAGGGCTTTGCCCTGATACAATCAGTCTTGTTTTATTTGTCTTCAAAATTTAAAGCCAAAATCTGGGTGGCAGAATATGCAAAAAGAACTGAAAGTGTTACTTGGAGTTTGCGATCCAGCATTTATTCCACTCCCACCAACTGCCATGTGGAATGGATCCCTCGAGATATTTTTCCAAAAAACCGGTCAACTCAGTTGCTCCAGCACCAATCTGTTCCAGAGCATCGTTCGAACCAGCAAACTGGAAGTAACTGAGAGCAGCTGCTTTGGGATTGCGCACAACCAAAATTGTTTTCAACTTCTTGGCAAATATTTCCTGAAATGCGAGGTTTTTTATCAACCGGATTTTCCATCATAATAGTATTGAAACACACATTAAAATAGTTTTGATGTGTTTCTGTGGAAAAAAAAGAAACGAACTAAACCCTAAACAAATTAAATCCTTGATGAAATACCAAAGATAATGAAATTATAATTTAACGTTCCTCACGTATAAAAAGTTAGCTCACGTCGTCCAATTCAAATGAAACTGAAAAAGTACCTGACCATTCAAATTCAAAGACCACCCATTTTATGCCAAATTTATACAGTGCTGATTTAAATTATCCGGACGAAACGAACAAAACTTGAATTTTCAAATGCGTTTTTCTCAAATTGGGTTAAGATTAGACAAAAACTGAAGAGAACAAAAGTTGCTTAGAATTTCACCAGAATTAATATGATGCCATTTTTTCTCCGAAATTCTCAACAAAAATTTTAACCCAAAAATGGGTCATTTTGGCTTTTTTCAATTAATCAAGAATTACGCTGAAACTACTTTGTTAATTGATAAAAAAATTATATCACAGGAAGCCTCTTACGCAGCTCAACAAAGTTTAAGAAGGGTTAAATTTTCAAAATTTGCGCAAATTGTTTAAAATTTATTTTTAAACAGAGATTCTGGGTTTTATATAGTAAAAATCACATTTATTGACTATCAAGTAAACTTTTTTTCATTTATACTGGTTTTTGGAGATTTAACCCATCTTAAACTTTTTTCAGCTGCGTAAGAGGCTTCCTGTGATATAATTTTCATATCAGTTAACAAAGTAGTTTCAGCGTAATTCTTGATTAATTGAAAAAAGCCAAAATGACCCATTTTTGGGTTAAAATTTTTGTTGAGAATTTCGGAGAAAAAATGGCACCATATTAATTCTGGTGAAATTCTAAGCAACTTTTGTTCTCTTCATTTTTTGTCTAATCCTAACCCGATTTGAGAAAAACGCGTTTGAAAATTCAAGTTTTGTTCGTTTTGTCCGGATAATTTAAATCAGCACTGTATATCGTTATAATTAATGCGTGTGTGTTGTTATTAAGTAAAAAGCCCCCCCCTCCCCCCTACTCCTTACTGATTTTAGATATACACAGATAGTTTTCATTTTCATGGCTGGGGAGGGGGTAGGGGAATAATTGACAAGAAAAACGCCCGACTAAGAAACGAAACTAAAGCTCTGATAGGAAAAGTCTCGTATTAAGCCATAATCTGAGTCAAAATTCCAATGAAATGTCAAAACTGTGGTGAAAGAGTAAAAAACCGTCGGCAATTAAAGCGTAAATATAACCTTTGGTGCTAATTTAGTGGGTAGATGGGTCTTTAACAACCTCGGTTTCATCGAGGAATCATTCGCCACTGCGATGCCATCATAGTCCACACTCGAATTCCGGAACTCTACGTGGGGGAACACCTGAGTTAATGCACAAAAGTATTAATCTTTGTAATCTTAAGACTATACCATTCATCATCATAATAATTTAATTTTTCAAGTACGGGATATAAAATTAAGGACATGCAAAAAGTATACGGACTTTTACAACGAAGAGACTCAATTCTCCCAAAACATAAAAAAAAACTCGGTTATCAAAATTTTTTTACTATCGCATAAATAAATGTCCATTAATGAATGCAGATAACCCCCTAGTTTCGATTCTTCGATATAGATCATCTTTATAAGTATACTTTTGTGCAGTTGTTAAAAAAAGGTTAAACAGAAGTCTATACCTTTTGTTTCAACATCGATTCGACTATTATATTGGATTTACGCTTTTGTTAATAAACCCGGGTTGCCCACCATAGAAGATAATGCGCAACCATGCACATCCATGCATGATTTGCATGGAAAATGACTAATCATACGTAGCACATACGTTGGTTTCAAAAACCCTCAAAATAGCTTTTTAACGGAGTAAAATAGTAATAAAACGGTTTCTCATCGTTATGCAAGCTGTTGGTAAAATATCAAAAATTTTCACCATGCAAATCATACGTCGCAACATATATGGTGCTAAGTATGGAAGAGATTTTTCAACATAATTTTTTTTTCTCTAGAAAACCGTAAAATAGAGGTTATTTGACAAAAATGACTGAGAAAAAGTATCTGTAGTGCAAAATACACTTTTATTTGATTTTAATTTTTTTTCTACCATGAAAACCATACGTCGCACATAAATAGCGCTATTTATGGAAACGATGTTTCCTTACAAAAACAACTTTAATAGAGCAGGCAACAGCACATCCAAAATAATAAATATTTTTTCGTCGAATAACATTTTTTATTTGACAATGCTTCTTAAACGTTTTATTTGCTTTAGTAATTGAGTAATTGCAGTTCATGTCGCAAAGCTTATGCTTCTCTTTCAGATGTCGTCAAAAATAGATACCTTGAAACAGTTTTTCCATATTAGTCTTTGTTGTTCCAGTGTTTTATGATCCAACTCAACAGCTGTGCCAGATACCGGGAGATCGTATTGATTGATATGTTTGATGTTATTATTGTACACTCTTACTAAATTAGTCGTTTTGAATTCACCCCTGCACACAAAAAAGCAACCATTTTTTGCTTTTTAAGGAGCAATTCTACAAGGTGAAGTATAAAAATCGGCCCTATTACACTTTTCCCTACATTTCAAACTTTAGCTAAACATGTTAACAAACGATGCGAGATATGAACAAAAAAAACTGTTCAACTTTTCTGGTTTGTTCACCACGCCAAACTTCGTTGCATTATATTCATGTAACAATAATTTTTCAAAATTGTAACCCAAAGTTTCGCTTGGGGCGTGGAAAAAAGACTAGAAGTCAAATATAAGACAAATTGCCTATCTAGTCAGAATAATAATTTGAACACAGATTGCGGACACAAAACGAAAAAGACTGTAAGTCCAAAAATCAAAAGAATTCGAAAAATATAAAAAGTCTATAAAAACGAATGAAGCAAGTTGCAAAAAAAACACGCGAAAACAGCAAAAGGTAAAATTAGCAGCCGTTAACAAAATTGAAAATAACTGAGCAAAAACCAATCAGCTGAAAACAAAATAAAAAAATTTAGGCAATAAAACATATTTAAGCTCCCCTGCCATCAAGCACATACGCACAGAAATAAAAAAAACTTGTTCTTCAAAAGACGAAAAACAAGGCCACAAAACCGATTTAGTTAAGAATGAAATGACTCTTTCCCGCTCCCCCACATTTAAAAATTTCCATTTTCTCAATTTTTTGATTATTTTATGACTGAGCGTGTAATGTTACGAAGTCTGGTATCACCAACAAATATGGTTGTCATAGGTAGTTTCTTCATCATTCAAAATTAATTAATATTATGACAATGTAAACTTATGACAAAACTGAAATTCAAATGATTGGAAGGAGCTTCGAAACAGCCAATGAAACCTTTGAAGCCGAAAAAAATTAAGCTGACGAGCTCGCTTTCCGTTTCGAATAGGACGGAATCTATAACGCCAAAAAATAAGGTGAAAAACCTGTTAGCCATTTTGAAAAATTTTATCAAGTTTGAAAGTGACAGGTTCGGGGAAATGGAAATGATCCAAGATACATACTTTGAACCGTGAGGCGACAATCCGTAAATGGCAATATTCGTAACAAGCAACAATTCGTAAAAACAGACAATTCTTAACAGTAGATTAAGAGTACAACAAAGATTCACGCGCAGTATTCCTCTCGTGTCGGGCTTAAGCGAAACAGAGTCAGCGTAATCTATTTGTAAGTGCCTGTTACGAATTCCCGCATATACCGAGTTGTCGCCCATCAAGAATTGTCGCCCTAACATTTAGCTCCCTAATTATACGTCCTAATCGAAACCAATAGTTATTATGACTGAAAGCGTGATATTTCGAGGAAAGGTATTCAGAGCAAATATGTTCGCAATAATTAGTTTTTTCATGATGCAAAAATTCTTTACAGTATAACAACGCATAACTGGTTTTGCGGTTCTTTTTCCTTCGCCCCCAAATTTTTATATTTGAAGTTACTGTTCACTTTAACCCGATTGTCATGAAAATTGACATGCAGACTAATTAGGCCATGACAAACATATTTGGTCTTCATAATTAACCTTGTAAAACCACTCGTTAGACCATAAAATTCATGTTTGAGTGAGGTTAGGGGGGTGGAAAGAGCCGGTTTTGCAAACCGAAAATCACTATTTCAGTCAAAAAAATTATCCGACACAATATTCGAAAAAATCAAAAAAAAATATCCGACAATTTGTAACGGTAGATTAAGCGGGGAATACAGCGAATTCTACTTGCAAGTGCCTTTTTACGAATTGTCGCCCGTTACGAATTGTCGCCCGTTACGAATTGTCGCCCATTACGAATTGTCGCCCGTTACGAATTGTCACGCTGCCAATGAGCTCCTCAGTTATCCGTCCTATTCAAAAAGGATAGTTATTATAACTGAACGCGTGATGTTACGAAGTAAGGTATCAAGAACAAAGATGTTCGCAGGGCTCTTTTTCCTTTTCTCCCCACCTGCGAATTTTTACACGTAAATTTGTTGACCACTTTGTCGGATTGTTATGTACATATCAAAAATTCACATACAGACTAATAAGGCCACGAAAAACATATTTGGTCTTCATACTCAACCTCGTAAAACCACTCGTTACACTAAAAAAATGAAGCTCATGTGAGGTGGGGTGGAAAGGAAAAAGAGCCGTTCGCAGTAATTAGTTTCTTCATCATGCAAAAACTCTCTACATTATGACAACATAAAATTAGTTTTTCAAAACTGAAAATCAGATTTTAGTTCAAAAAAAAAACTATACAAAATATGCAAAAAATTCAAAAGAAAATATCCGAAAGTTCTTGAAAGTAGGTTAAGGGGTTATACTGATTCACGCACAGTTTTCCTCTCGTACCGGATTAAAGAAAAGCGAAGCCAGCGCACTCTACTGACCAGAGCCATCAATTAAGCATTCATTAGTCTGGTAAAAATTTGCAATTGTACTAATTAGTTGACATGCTTGATTGAGGGGTAGTAAAGAGCCAAGGGTTTCATATGAAAGCAACATCATAACATTAGACAAACTATGATTTCGCTACCTGGTACAGTTTGAACGTTTCTTCTTTCAGAGTGTGAATGCCATAAACCATTCCAATGAGGATATTCTGAGTCCAAGTGGTGCCCGATCGAGGGTAGGTGGCCAGGAAGATGTCGTCATCTCGACAGTTGAGCTGTTGGGCATCTTGAAAGGACGCTTTTTAAGAAATTGAGTTTATGGCTTTGTGAGTTTTAATTGTTTACCTCTCTTTGCTTTTTTTTTGCTGAAAGAGCATTTTCCAAAGCATCGCGTCGTTAAATTAACTTTGAATGTTATATTTCAGGTCTTAGTAACCAAAAGGGGCTCTTTTTCCTCCCCACCCCCACCTTACATAAGCATCGATTTTATGGTGTAACGCGTGGTTTTACAAGGTTGATTATGAAGACCGAATATGTTTGTCATGTCCTAATCAGTTCGTGTGCCAAATTTTGGGCTCTTTTTCCTTTCCCAACCCCCCCCCCCCCACCTCACACGAGCTTCAATATATTAGTGTAACGAGTGGTTTTACGAGGTTGAGTATGAAGACCAAATATGTTTTTTGTGGCCTTATTAGTCTGTATGTAAATTTTCATAACAATCGGACAATGTGGTCAACAAATTTACATGTAAAAATTTGCAGGTGGGGGGAAAAGGAAAAAGAGCCAAATTTTGTAACAATCCGACAATTTGAACAGAAAAATGACTCTAAAAATTTTGCAGGTGGGGGGGAAAAGGAAAAAGAGCCCCAAAAGGGTTATTTTCCATTTTCCCCAAAAATTTCAAACTTTCCATTTTCTCAACTGAACGCGTGATGTTACACTGAATTTCCCATTATAGATACCCTCAACTAACATAAGCATCAGTTTTGTGGCGTAAGGAGAGATGTTACAAGTTGGTCATGGCCTTAATCCGCAAACCAATTTGGCTCTTTTTCCTTCCCCCACCTGCAATTTTTATAATTAAAATTACTGTTTGCATTGTTGTTGTTGTTGCGAATTTTCAGTAGGATACTGATGGGATGATATCCCCAAAGTTCTCAAAATTTTGTCCAGTTATTTCGGCACATGTTGCAGTCGCAGAAGAGGACCCATGTGCACTTGTTTTGTTCTGAGAATTGATCGTCGAAAAACTTCCACATCATCTGTATCAATCTTCGCTTTAAGCCTCGCATTTCTCGAAATTCAATTTTCTGATTTAGTCGGTTTATTAGACGGCACGTCCTGAATGTATACTCTCCTCTAGCTTTTTCAGTTCTGGTCTTGATTGTCCGATTGTCATGAAAATTGACATGCGAATAAATAAGGCCCTGACAAACATATTTGGTTTAATTATTAACCTTGTAAAATCACTCGTTAGACCATAAAATTGATGCTCATGTGAGGTGGGGGGAAAAGGAAAAAGAGCCACCAATTTTTGTAAGCATCGGAAATGTGTACAGTTGTAAACAACAGAAAAATTGCTCCTAAAAATTCGCTAGGAGGAATCAACTCGTTTAGTTATGGGTTCTTTTCCAGTTTCCCACCCCCTGTTAAAATTACAAAACTAGGCGGCTCAAAATTGTTCACACGGCATTTTGTATGGAAAAAAATGTTGTCATAATTTGGGCTCTTTTTCCTTTTTCCCCCCACCTCACTCAAACATGAATTTTATGGTCTAACGAGTGGTTTTACAAGGTTAATTATGAAGACCAAATATGCTTGTTTGGTATGGCCTAATTAGTCTGCATGTCAATTTTTACGACAATCGGACAAAGTGAACATTAACTTCAAATATAAAAATTTGCAGGCGGGGGAAAAAGGAAACAGAGCCATAATTTGTACACCTGTTCATACCGACACGTTTTGATGCGGTTTATAACCTGAAAGTTATTTTAAATAGACTTTCACGCAATGAATTTCAGAAAAAACCAAAGGGGGGAACTGGAAAAGAGCCCAATTATGCAAGTGAATGATGCTATTATTGCGCTTTTTTTATTTATTTTGTGTGACAGATACATCAGTTTGTTTACTGACTGACCTATCACTCAAAAATGCGGTTTTGAATTTTTGCCGGATATTTCTAGTCAGCACTGTAGAGCATAAAGACTGATGTCTGAATTTTGAAAATGTTCACCCGAAAATGTTCACTCGCAGCAAAAACAATAATTAACTTTAAACATTTGAAACCTTGGCTCTTTTTCCTTTTCCCCCCACCTGCAAATTTTTATATTTAAAGTTAATGTTCGCTTCTTCCGATTGTCATGAAAATTGACAAGAAGACTAATTAGGCCATGACAAACATATTTGGTCTTCATAATTAACCTTGTAAAACCACTCGTTAGAGCATAAAATTCATGTTTGAGTGAGGTGGGGGAAAAGGAAAAAGAGTCGAAACCTTTTTTTGAAGTTTTCCAAACTTTGAAAAATTGGATCTCTTTTTTTTTCTCCCCCGCCTGCAAATTTTTACGGCCAAAAATTTTGTTCACATTGTTTAATTGTTAAAAAAAATTGACATACGGACTAATTAGGTTGTGGCAAACATATTTGGTGTTCTTATTTAACCAATCGTTACACCATAAAATTCATGTTCGTGTGAGGTGGAGGTGGGGGGGGGGGGGTTCATTTAGGGCTGTTATCAGGGGCGGGGGCGGGGGCGGGGCGGGGGGGGGGGGGGCGTACGTCTTCTTCCCTCAGGGATTTGACCCCTTGCCGACCCAAAGGGTCCCCCCTTTGGTACTTTTAAGAAATCCAGTTTTGGCCGACCGCGACTTTTTGGTCAAAATTTTCCAAAAAGAACTTAAAAACTCGGCTGTTTTTCCTTTTCCCCCCACCTGCAAATTTTTATATTTGAAGTTACTGTTCATGTTGTCCGATTGACGTGAAATTCGACATGCAGATTAATTAGGCTATAAAAAACATATTTGGTTTTCATAATTAACCTTGTAAAACCACTTGTTAGACCATAAAATTCATGTTTGAGTGAGGTGGGGGGAAAGGAAAAAGAGCCAAAAACTCTAAAAATGCCTTTTTTGGACTGTTTTTTCAAACTTTTGGCTGCGGCGCAGAAAATTTGGCCAAAATAGGGACTAAACAGGCTTAAGGAGAGCTCGAAAAATTAATTCGGCCGACCTAAAAAAATGGATTTTATGGATTTCAGGCCAAACGCTCTGAAATTTAAAAAGAAAGAATCCTCTGATGCTCTGTTCGGTAACATGGTGTCCCAAATATCTGATGCCTTCTATAACAAATGGATCCGAGTCCGGCTTCATTATGTTTTGTTCAATAAATTCAGCGTGGTTTGAAAAATTGGGTAATGAAGAATTCAGATTACTTGAAAGCACGTGTAATAAACTGTTGTATTTATTAACAATGGTATGTTTTAAAAAAAGAATATAAATAAGAGTTAATTAAGTTCTGAATCAAAGCATTAACAATAGCTGTGTGAGAACAAACCCAAATAGACTTTAAAATTTCAAAATTTCTATTTTCTCAGTTGTGTTACGTGTTATTATGGCTGAATACGTGATATTTTGGTGTAAGGTAAGAAGAACAAATTTGTTCACAATAGTTAATTTGCTCATAATGCAAAAATTGCTTGATCATGCCAACGTAAATCTAGTTTCTCAAACTGAAATTCAAATGTGTGGAAGGAGGTGGAAATGAGCCCTTTAATTATTTATCATTATCATCACAATTTGACTGACACATTTCAAATATTTGTACATTTGAAAATATTCTCAACTGGCAAATAAAGTTTTTTTAACCAAAAGGTGGAAGGCACTCATTAATTAGGTCTTGAGTCCTAATTGGGTCTTTGCCAATAAAATCGCAGGTCCACTCTACTCTCATTTTGATCGGAAACCCTTTAAGATGTCAGTATTCAGGGGCGAATTTGGGGGGGGGGGGGGGCTGACGTTCTTTCGGCTCTTTTCCAGTTTCCCCCTTTGATTTTTTTTTGGAAATTTGATATATGAAAACTCATTTAAAACGACTTTCCAGGTTACAAATTGCAGTAAAACGTGTCAGCGTGAACAAATTTTCACAACAACATTTCTTACATGCAAAATGCAGTGTGAACAATTTTTGAACAGCTTTATTTTGAAATTTTACGAAGGGGGTGGGAAACTGGAAAAGAGCCCTTCTTTCTTCAGGAACTCGACCTCCAGCCGATTCAAAGAGTCCCCCTTTGTACGATTTTGAATTATCCTTTTTTTGGTGACGGATCCTAAAATTTTTCTAAAGGCGCTTATGGCGCCAAAATATACTAGTTTTGAGGGGGTGAGCGCGCGCCGAAAACAACCGGTTTTTTGGTCAAAAATTTCCAAACAGTGCCTAAAAACACCTTTTGGCCAGTTTTTTTTTTAATTTTGCCTGTGGCGCAGAAAACTTGGCCAAAACAGGAACTTTTTTATTGCTTTGGGAGAGCTCGAAAAATAAATTTGGTCGACCGAAAAAAAGGTGACAAAATTTTCGAACATTTTTTGAAAATCGCCCCTCGAGAAAACCCTAGATCAGCCCCTGGCAGTATTTTGAAATAAATTTCATGACTGAGTTCAAAGAGATGCAAGTATGCACTCTGCGAGATGTGTTCTTGCGCATTTTTTTAAAAGATATTTTCGTATTTTTGTTTGCGGATTGCGAGCGGAGATTCATCCCCACATTGGCAAAAATAAAATTGCAATCAATTACAATCGATTTTTATACAGATTTAAGACTAAAATCGATTGTATGTAAGCCAATTAGACACTAAAAAGGATAAAATAGGGATTTTATACAAATCAGAAAAATCGATTATATAGTCTAGGAAAAAGATTTTTTTTTTGCGGTATAAAATCTGTACAGAATCTGTATAAAATCGAAAATAATCTATTGTAAGGCATTTTCTAAGGACCAAAAAACATTAATTATGTTGTCTTAAAATGGATTATGATGTCTAAAAAATATTTTTTTTATGTTAGAAGCATGCTTTTTGAAAACTCAAAAAAATTTGAATATTTTTTTGCGGTATAAAATCTGTACAGAATCTGTATAAAATCGAAAATAATCTATTGTAATGCATTTTCTAAGGACCCAAAAATATTAATTATGTTGTCTTAAAATGGATTATGATGTCTAAAAAAATATTTTTTTTTCTGTTAGAAGCATGCTTTTTGAAAACTCAAAAAAATTTGAATTCAAACTAAACGACACAAATCATAAAAATCATCAATATAAACAAGATTTTGGGCTCAAAAATCTACAATAAAGTCATGAAAACCATCAAAATTAACAGGATTTTGGGTACAAAAACATGCAATGAAATCATTAAAAAAAACAAGATTTTGTGCACAAAATATGCAAAAAAATCATGAAAATCATTAATATAAACAACATTTTGTGCACAAAAAATGCAACCCAAGTCCACCAATCTTTGATATTTTTGACAAATATCTAAAATTTTTGGTT